GATGTTTCCCATCAAAGTCAGTACCAAATTTCAACAGTGTCAGCTTGATATTTTTATTTTTCCCTTAAATTATTATTCTTGATATAGTTTTCTCAGCTTTTACAGTACCAACACATCTTGGGCAGGGGAGTTTCTACCATTAAGTTGAGTAGAGGCATCCAACTAACGTAACATGTTTCGCATCCCAAACACTATATCTCCCTGCTTCAATCCTCCTGCCATACCACATCCTTCAAATTTTTGGGATTCACCTCTGCTTCTGGTGCCAATTCAAAGCCAACAATAAGCCAAGTGTCAGAGAGATAAAAGTAGAAAGAGATGGATGAATCATCCCTAAAAACCAGACCACTATCTTCAAAGTCTTAGGTTTAAATCCTGTCTCGGTATTATCAGCTTATCATTGTTAAAAAAAACAAACAAGAGAACACAATACTCTTAAACCATACACCATTTTGGATTTAGCCCTCTATGAAGTATCTGAGTGACCAGCTCTACAACAGATAAGATAATTCAATACTGCTACAATTTACTTGGGTTAAAATTTGTCATTTAAGCATTACAGAAACTAAGTTTTGTAAGGAAAGGTTCCTTGGAGAGTTGTGTTAACGCAGTCAAAGTCGGTCTGGTTCCAAAGGCCATAACAGAGTGGCCAAAAATAGTTCTCTCTATTTGCAAAAAAACAATCCCACACCATTCAAGATGCAAATGTCCCCTTTTTTGCCTCCTACAAGACAAGAACCTGCTATCAACTACTTATAATCCACAGGTTAGTTGGCTTTGAGCAAATTACAAGACCTGTCTTTGCACACAGCATTTCACTGCATGGCAAGTACCTGCCTGTGTATGTAATACTTGTATGTTTGCACAGATACATACATACTACTGTGTCTTGACTTGCTGTTCTTGCTAAATTACCCTTATATGTTAAGTACTTAATAATAATTCTGTGCAGTTAGGTCTTAAAAATTAGTTCTCTCTTTCAACTGCTGAAAAGCTTATGTAGCAACTCCTGTATGACAGCAGGAAAAGTCAGCTTTCCATGGAAGAAGACTCAGTGTCTGAGAGTAAATGATTTGGAAATTTATCATTCTTTCTTTCTCCAACCACTGCTACTGTAATGTCAAGTAATCAGTGAGGACACTGCATAACACTCTCCCCACAGTGTCTTGCCTACAGAGATTCCACACTGGAGCTAAACATTTTCCTTAGAATTATTTTCAGTGTGTGCTCCCCCACCTCTATTTTGGCAGCATAATACTAATATTGGTAGCAACAGTTTCTCTCATCAATCATCCACTTTCAAAGTTCAGTGTGCTTTTGTGGTTTCCAGCTGGGATTTTCATGCACCAAATAAAAAATTTTGGTATTTTTTGGGACACAAGAGAAACTTATTATCGTAACCTCCAACATTGAAGAATATTCAGGAAGTCCACTGAAAATTCAAAGCTTGCTAGACCAGGGAGCAAAAGCCCTTTGCTAAAGAGCAATTTGTCAACATCCCTTCCAATATGTAATTTAGAAAATAAAAGAGTGCCTGTATTCATAAGGCGCTCTCAGAACAAATGTTTCTATATGAAGCAGCAAAACCTAAAACCAATGATCAGTCTCTGCTATGTCAATGCTCACAGTGTCCACTCTACAAGAAGGTGACCCCTGCACTTACAAAAAACACCTTTCTAGAATTGCTGCCTAACAAAGGTTGTCTTTACTTTCAACAAAAGTAATCTCTTCCAAAGGGTGTCATGACAGAAGAAGTATGTTCTAACCTTAATGCAAGCCTCGCAGATCACCTCTCCATTGCAAGGGGAGAAAGGGAAAGCCTCAGTTAACAGCATGAAGGTGAAAGAACAGAGTCAAGAAAACAAAATTCACTTCCTTGTGTAAGAAAACTGAGTAAATCAATATTGTACAAGGAAGTGCTTTATATATCAAACTGACAATGTTTTGGAAAACTTACTTCAATGCTTGAACTCCACTAGGAGCATGACTTGCTTTTGCTGGACAACTATGGAAAAAGTTTAGCTTTACATCATTGAATTAATAAAAATTGCAAAGATAACTGTGCCTTAAGTGCAACATAAAAATAAGTATCACACTTCAAAAATCATTTGAGTATTTCACTATTCCTATAAAGATGTAGAATCTCCCACAGCTGGAAGATGAAGACAGTTTAGTTCCTGCCAGCTACTTCTCTTTCATTTATGTATTTCACGTCAAGAATATTAACAAGATTTAGGAGCACAACAGAACTTATTAAAAATATAGCTTTGACATTTTAAACAATGAATATCAGGACCAAAACCAATTTTTTGCTCAGCTTACATTCCAAACCTACAACACATTTCACCTTAATAAGTATTTTTTCTAGCAGTTAAAAAGCTTAACAACTATGAGCATGGTGACTGCTCAGAAACATTAGCTTCATAAATCCTTTTTGACAACTTCATAATTAAAATTTGAAAGCTGGTGTGATCATACAGCTTTGTCTGTTAACTTCCAAGTTTCAGTTCACATTTTATGCCAAGTTTTATAAAAAAATAGATTAAAAAATACAAATATACAAAATACAAATACACAAAAAATAGATTATTCCAGCTTATTGCTCTACAGTACATCACTGCCATGTTTACTATTAATAGATACCCAGTGAGTTAAGTCAAATATTACAGGTGGTAAGTGGATTGATTATTAGTCACTTGCCCATCCTGCATAATTTAAGGCCATTTCAGTTAAAGAACTTTTCAAATCACTTTGAAAAGTTATTCTGAAGACTTACAATAGAATGTACTTAGTATTTTTGTTTCTGAAAACGTACAGGTGTTACAGTAATAATTGCTTTACCTCTCCTGTTTTTATCAAGTCTCCTATATACGAAAAGTTTATACACAGTGCTTTTAATCCTTTTGTCAGCATGATCAACATAACACTTTTAAGACTGAAATTTACTGACAGCTAAAACCTTTATTGTTAATGGTGCACCTAACTGGCACAACTATGACCCTTTATGATTCTGCACTAAATGAGGCTCAGTTTTGTTGCTCCCTGAAAACAGCTAAGGTTTGCTAATTGCAGTTAAATTGCTACAGTAAAACCAAGTTGCTGAGCACAGCTGAAAAGCAGCACACATATAAATAGTGTCCATCAGTTCACAGCAAAGGCCAACTGCTGCAGCTTAACTGTCTCTGCACTGAGCTGGTTTAAACTCTGTAAGATCTGCATTAGGCTAGAACATAAACCTTCACCACTGCCCAACTAGCCTGTATGCCCACCCTGCTTTTCAAAAACTTGATTCATTTTAGGAAATACTATCTATGATTTCCTGATTGGGCTGTTTTAGTCAGTTAGTTGAAAACAATTTGAATGACAACCTTTAATTTTCATGCATGACAGTCACAGTAAAAAGCATGAGGTCTATTTACAGCACATAACATTTACAGAACCAACAACTTGAATAATAGTGGACTTGAAAAAAACTTTTCCCCACTCCTTACAGATAGAATAGGGCTGAGAACAGAGCTCCAAACTGCACTCATTTTTTGAGCAGGTCTGTTTGAAAGTTATATTCTAGTCAAACATTTCACCCTATTTAATGATGATTTTCTAATTTTTTTGAATTGATATTTCTTAGTGTGCCAGTTTTTGTAATTGTTTTGAGACTACTATGCAGTCATGAAGACTTCTCCATAGAAGCAGCCTTAGAACCAAAACACCCAAAAGTAACTCTCACAGAACTAAATTTCATAACAGTTGGCAGCACTTGAATTCTTTTAAATGATATAAAATTCTAGCTATTAGAGTAGTTTACAAGTAATTCAACTGTTTCAAACTATAAGTTTCCAGTTAACTAGCTCATTGGCCAGATTGTTAATTAGAACTTACTAGCTTTCCACAGTGGCCTACAGTTGTAATTACATCACTGACTTCAACATTATCATTCATTCTAAAGATGCAGATTCTAAAGTGAATTCTGACTGATGTGGTTTCAAGCATCTTGTACTTATAGTTTTAGTCTTAAATTCTCATTCTCATTTTAACTCTTAAGTGTTCATATGCAGTTTTAACAAAGAAGTCATCTATGTTTGTATCCACCATCGCTGTATTCTCTAACAGGCCACCATGTGCTCTGACACTTAATTTGCTTAATGAAATAACTGATGTCAAGAGCTTAGTAAAAAGCAGCAACACAATACAACAAAATGAAGTTTAAATTTTCATGTCTATTATCTTCCTTAAGAGCCTCTATAACACTAGCATTTATTGATTAAGGTAATTTACTTAATCCCTTATGAAAATCTGAACAGCTTTTCCACATTTGTATAGAAGTATTCATGCTTACTGTAAGCCATAGTGCTCTTTCACATAAAAGGTGTCACAGTAAAACATGAATTACATTGTGTTTATGATGCAAGGCTGTGAGTTCCAGCAGCAGTAGTGCTACACAGACACACAAATTTGCTATATGGTACTAGTAGATCAGCAGGAGTTGTGCATGAGGTATTTAACTTGATGATTACTGGGTATCTGAACCCCAAGAAAATGCCACAAGTAATGGGTGTAAAATGCACACACTCAGAACATAACCCTAACTTCCTTAAAACAGAGCATCTTCAGCTTTTCTAAATGTAGTTGTTCCCCTTCCACTAACATCTGCTTTCTCAATTTATTACAGACAAGGTACTACTTATTGCAGTCAATGTGTCTTGTCAAACACAAGTTAAGACCATTAAAAAAAATGTTAATTTGACTACCAAGAGAAAATAATTATCTTAGAAGCACCTTAACTGTAAGAATTTCTCCTATATGTTGCTATTAAGAGTCAGTTTAATGCCAAATTGTGCTGTAGCTTTTAAATCCACACTTTCAATGGCTTTTCACACAAAAAGCATATATTTTTCATATATTTCATGCAACAACTGGTGGGTCTTCAGTTTGCTAATTCAATCACTGACAAAAAAATGTTCTAAGTTAACATACTGTCTTTGTTAAGAAGTAAGACTTACCTAATATGTAGATAGTCTTCTGATCACTTTTCTGACCAAGGGCATTCGTCACCTTACAAATGTAAGTCCCAGTGTAGTTGTAAGTCAAAGGGCTGCTGAATTGCAAAGTGTTGTTAACAGCCAATAGTCCTTCAGGCCATTGTCCATCCAACCTAAAAGGACAGTTATATTTCAAATGTGTATATTTACAAGTAGTTTAAACAGAAGGAGTTTAAAATGATATTGCCAATAATCTATAGATTGAATATTTCACTGTGCTCTGACACTTCCAGTGGGCTTTCCTTCAATATTCTTAGTGTACACCTGAAGGTTTACTCAGTATTTAATTTCTGGGCCAAATCCTTTAAATGTCAGATCTGCTGGAACTAGCAAGCTGTCTAAAATCTACACCATTACAGCTAAGAAAACAGCATCTCAAAAGAACTTGGAGGAACAAGACAACCCAAGCTCTGAAAACTAACAGTCTAACTAAGAAGCACTTCTGCTGTCAGGATTAGCTGCCTGTTTCATTTGCATTCAGTAGATATTTCTGTCCATACATTCTTAATTTAGAGGACATTTTGACTAGAACTTCTGAGCAAGAATTCACGCAGTTTCTCCTCTCCTGAACTGCCTTTTCTTATCTCCCATCACTCTGTCTAAATTACTTCACTGAAATGAAATGTGGTACTTGGTGATACACCTGGGGAAACAATTGGTTAAAAAAATTATTTTTTATCAACTGACTTTTCAAAGTCCATAATTTCCCTGTACAATTTTGCCTAAGATTACAGTTACAACTGTGTAAACACAAGAGAAAAAGAGGAAAGGGCAAAAGCCCTGGAACTATTCTAACAGAGCTGCCAACTGCCTATTAAACACCTGTGTAATTCCATGCCATTGAAATGCATTTTAATTTATCTACGTACCTATTAACAGCCAAGGAGGCCTAAATCAATATTCAAACTAGATCACTAGATAACAGTATCTTGAAAGCATTTAGCAATCGTGATTTTTTAAGTAGTATTGAACAAAAAGGCAACCATCACTTCAAAACAGGTACTCAAAGGAAAAGAAACAAACACTTCACAGCTCACACTAAATGCAATCGTCAGAAAATGGTTCAAGACAACTTTCCTAGTCCTTGGCTGTGATTATTGCCCGGAATTGCTTCAGCCACATAAAGCAGATAAAAGTCATCAAGCACATACTTCATAGTACCAGAAGTATTTATTTCAAGAAACATTACAAAAACAGTCAAGTGGTTTGAAAGCTCTATCCTAATAAAATTCTCATACATGCAACATTTAAAAACATTACCAATCATGAAAATATCACTATCCCAGTAAATACAATGACATCTTCTCTTCCAAGGGATAAAACTGGTTGGTAAGGGAGTTCTACAACCTATTGTAATCTAACACCAGTCAAACAGCACACAGTTCAACACTGTATTTCTCCAAGCTCAAGCTACCCTTCTTTTACATGGATTTCTCCTCCCTACACATGAAGTTTCTTATTCACCACTACTACAGCTTTTTGGATGGGTTTTGCTGTTGCTCAGAAAGGCACAACAGGTTTATTCCAGAAAATTTAGATTTCCTGTGAAAGTTTCTTCCATTTTAAGTTAGGGGAGCCTAACAGTGATCTTTGAAGCTTGAATGGCTTTGAATGTATTTAAATAGGTTCATTTCTTCTAGAATTGTGAACACTGGTAGTATTGATTAGTTCTTACATATGTTTAAAATTCAAATGAGAGAACTGAGAACCTAGTGCATCTGAAGAAGCAAGTGGTACTGCTGTTAGGGGCTTTTTCTAAACACGGGAATTGTTATGTGCTGAAATTTCCCATCACAGTGATTTTCAGCTAAGCCTGGGATGGGAGTCCACAGATTCATGAAGTGTGGATGGTATGTAAGCTTTTAAATTTGCTCATTAGAGGCATATGTAAATAATAGTTGGATCCTTATTAGAGTTATTGGTCTTTGCTCTACATGCTGTAACACACATTGTGCAGTCCACCTTGAGTAACTAAAGAGACTTTACCCTGAGAGTAATGACAAACTGTTTAGGCACATAAATTTACAAGATATCCACTCACCTGTATTCATACGAACACATATCTTGTATTCTCCTTTTAAAAAGCTGATAAAACCAGTATGATCAATACAAGTCATATATTCTTTGTTTTCAAAACATGCATTCGCTGTAAGCAAAGTGATTATACCACTTGAATAATGTGGCAAGTCCCTTTTCATAAATATTTACCTGGTCCACATAAATTCCATAGGTAGTGGATTTGCATCAGCATTACATTTGAGCTGAACATTTGCTCTTCCAATGAACCAGTTTCCATCATAGCCAGTTACTGAAACTGGAGCATCTGACAAAAAAAAAAGATTTCATTTATGAACAATCACAATTTTTACATTTAAAGTGAATAATGTGTAAGATTAATAGAACAGATAGGTACTCTTTTTCATGTTTGGTTTTTTTTTGTGTGCTTTAGTTGTTGGTTGCCTTTTTGTTTTTAATTTAAAGAACACTCAAAATGTACAGAGAACATGATACAGTTCCAAGCTACAACATTAATATGCAGCAGTGAACAAATTGTTTTAATCAGTGCAACTTTCCCAGTGTGTTTTCAGCAACCACACAGCACCTTGAGGAAGTGAGAGGACTTCAGAAAAAAGAAATCACTTTCATGTTTTTGGGAAGAAGGAATGGCAACTTAGAACTACTTCTCATTAAAAAGATACAGCAAAGGATCAGAAACAACCTTGGGAGAAACCAGGTAATTAAGAAATCACCAAAATGTTCACAGATGCCAACTGTAAAGATTAAATTATCCATTCGTATCAAAATGCAGAATTATGTTATAGCTCTAAAAAGCCAGCAGGTGATTTCAGAGAGGCCTTGGGAAAATATTTAAAAGCCAAGGAACAGACAAACCAGTATGACCTGGGATAAGGTCTGGAGCTGAAATGGAGAAGCAGTTGCAAAACCTAATAAGCGTCAGGGAAGACTGAAGAGCACACACTGCTTCTCACTTGCTGCTGTGTACCTTACTATACAACCTTGTTAGAAATTCTGAAACATGCATTAACGCTAATCTCAGATGAAAATATTGAAGACCAACTTGCACCCTCACTTCATTTTCAACAGGAAATCATTACTTTATTCACTGTTTGAGACAATGCAAATACTCTTCAGTTGTATCAATGGCCCTCCAATCTAGAACTTTATTTCAAGACCAATAAAATAAAGCAGTGGGAATCACTATTTTATGCCAAAATAAGTGATTCTTTACCAAACAGAACAAAACCAAGCCAAAAATCAAATTCTAGTCAAATCAAAACAGACAAGTCTACTTTTTCCAGCCACTACATTTGTTCTACTTCAACTGACTGACAGACTTCTGTGATTTAGGAACTTTAAAGCAGCACACAGCCAAGACAGGACATCAAAGGAAAACACGAAAATGGCTGGTTTTGTTCATATAGGCACTGTCTAACAAAAAGGGACCACATGCCTAAAGCTTACTGGTTTTACCTAAGCAACATTGTAAGCCACCTTGATTTGTATTCATGTTTTTTAAAAGCCATACATTTTTTTAAAGAAGCCTGGTGCAGGTTTGAATTATATGAGCAATCTGAAGCTGAATAACAAACACTAGGCATGTATGCATTATGTTCTTGTTTTCTTGTGCTAGAGTGGACAAAGCTAGGTGAATAATCTGGAAGTAACTTACTGACCACCACAAGACCTATTTTCAACTTTGCTTATGAAAATTCATGTATGAGATGCTTTCTTTTTTAATACTGCTGACATTTTAAGACACTATAAACAGCTTTTGTTTCAACCCTCATGTTTACCCATGATTCATTATCCAAAACAGTAGAAATGTAACAGTATTCTAGCTTCATTACTTTATTTTCAATATAGAGACCCTAGACTTTTGCTCCTGCTAGACCTGCCTCTTATCACAGCTTTTCTGTACAGTTTCCATTTTCCTGAAGCAGAAAGCACCCATCTCCTTCCCGTGGAAGGTGTACTGATTAAAGGGGGAAGTTGCAAGATACATACCAGGAGTAATCACCTCACAAAATACTTACACTGTATGTCCAGCATGAAAGGGTATCTCATCTCTTTTTCAAGGGTGGGGTGCCTCACAACGCAGGTTATGAGTCTTCCTCTTGCAAATCGTGTAGGGACAATCACATAGTGGCTTACAACTGTCACTGTTTCATTTGGAAACAAAATAGAGGTGGATTCCATTTCACCAAGGCCTCCTTCCCAGACAATCTGCGCAGCAGGTTTTCCAGTGGCTGCTGTACAAGTGGCTGCTACTGTCCTATTTGACCCATCTATTAGAGGGTTTGGTCCTTTCATTAAGCTCACAACTGGTTCAACTAAGGAGGGGAAAAGAAAGATTTAAACAAGAACTCCATATCTTTGAAAGTGTCACAACTTAAAAGTTAAACAAGCTCTAATTTGTTTGCAAATGCTCATGTTAATCAAACATCCTAGAAGACCATGCATTATCTCAAGAGATGACAGCTCTACAAGGCTGTTGACACTACCTCTCTTTGTCCACCCACTCAAGTTCAATGTTGTTCATTCAATGCATTTAATGCACTGAAAGGGAATTCCAGAGTGGCTGGGTCCAAAACACCAGATGCAGTGTCTGAAAACAGCAAACTAAAGGTATTAGGTTGAAATGACACTGCAGGTTGTTTTTTTCAAAAAGCTTAGATTCTGCTGCATTTTCAAGCATTCAAGAATTTATCTATACTGTCAGTTTGTGTCACTTGAAATCTACTTCAGTGTTCTAACACCCAACATTAAGAGTTTAAGCTTTTCTTGATCACTATTATAGAAATGACTTCCAAGCTGCATCTTTATTATATATACACACCACACATTGAATAAAGGATCTAATAAGTACACAGAAATACACAATTGTATATAAAATCTAAGTTTTCAATGTACAAAGTAATCTATATATTAATAAAATTTCAATAAAAACACAAAAATAAAATTCATTGTTCTATATAAAAATAAAATTTTGCCTGTATATATTTTGTCTACATGGAACTGAATACTAAAGAAATCTGCATGTGGAAGGATGTGACCTCCTTGAAAAGCCACTTCTCACTCCAAAATTTTAAAACCTTGGGGAACACACTTATTTCTAACAGGAAGTTGAGCTCCTCATGGACAAGTCTACTGCTGAGGGCTGTAGACTAACAAGCTTCCAAAAAATTTCCTTCTGGTTTAGCAAATCTGTTTCAGCCCTGTACAAACCTCCCACCAGTAACATCCCAAGTCAGAAAAACTACCTGTTGCTTCAGATACAAACCGTGGCTGGGCTGTGTTAGAATGGCCCGTTTGTGTCACCAGTTCTGTAAGGGACAGGTTTGCTGTAGTGTACCAGCCTGTTCCACAATCCTGGTCTCTTGCTCTAATCTGGCTACTGGAGTGCTCTGAAGGAAGGTCATTGCTACTCACCATAATGCTTCAGAATCCACCTCAGTGGATCAGCCCTCACTAATCACAAAGCAGAGATAGATAAGTCTTGCAACTTCTGTGCCTTTCATTATCAGAAAGAAAAAAGTTAGTTCATGGAATTTCTTTCCAATAAATGAAAGCGGACTGACAGACACATCTTGTAAGAGAATCAGAAAGAGCTAAGTTCACCGTACCTGGCAAGTTCTCCAACTACTTCCAAAGATAAATATTTTCAGCGTCAGCCCATTTAATGCCAGGATCAGTTTTTCACTTTTTTGCTCAGTCTAACACTGCTCATGTCTGAACAAGTTGGTTTATTATTTGCTCAATTACGCTAAAGGAAAAGGCAACTATTAAATTGATAACCTTATAAAAATGTAGGTTTTCTGTTCTGTGCTTAGAAGTGCTTAAAGAATATAAGTTGTTATGAAGCTGAAGAGTGTTTGAGCAGATACTGAGAGCAAATTATTTTCTTTGTTTCCCTGAATGCCCACCCTCTGAGATTTGTTAGTAAACCTACTGAAAATAAGCCAATAGCAGGTTTTTTCTGCCAAGTTGCACACTCACTCTTCTAGATCTGAAGCATTTCTAATAGAGCCTCTTTCAAAATCTGATTCCCTGCTCTGCAAGACCAGCAACAGCTACAGCTTTGTGCAGGAAGTTTGCATATCTGAACTGATGTACCTATGAAGCACTGTCTAATCCTCAAAAAAAGCCTTTAAAACCTAGTATGGAGAACTTGACATTACATAGCTTTGTTATTTGACCCACAATTTGGTTTTCCTGATTTAACATGAACACTATTGCCTTGTTCTCCTGAAATCATTGGTAGAGACTTCAATAGCTTCTGTAGCATTACTAAAATGCAGAAGTATACACAAAAATTTATATTTAGAATTTTACATGCTTGAAAGTTCTATTTTGCTGTATCCCTCCCTTCCCAAGATTTCCACAATAGTAAAATAAATTAAATTAGCAGCTATCATTAGCATTTCATGCCAAAACTGTAGACTCAAATAATTTCAGATAATTTCAGCTGGAAATAAAGGCCTGATATGTTCTATTCCTTTGATTTTTCTTTAAAAAAATGCAACCGTGTAATTTTTCCTCCACCTCTTTGTGAAGGGATATGTATGTAAACAAGAACTCTTAACTAAGTTGTAAAGATGTCCAGACCCAAGCAGACTACTCACTATTGTACTTTTAGAAAAAGAAGTCTTCAAGTAGCCATAAAGCACTATAGACTAATTTTAAAAACCTACTTTCTCAAATGATACCAGAGATTTGTCAGTTTGAGTTCATTGTATAATACTTAGTTTTACACTTGTCAAGTAGACACAAAGGTAAACTATTCAAAACTACTCAGCGTCATAAAATATAATTATTCCCAGTCCTACAGGTTTCCATATCCAAAGTACGCTTTGGAATGCTATTTGTGGCATTTTTTTTTTGTTTTTTGAAAGTGTAATTTCTATATACAGTCCTCTTATCCCAGGACCATTCGTTGTGCCACATGAATGAGATTTTCACTGACTTTCTCTACCCACAGTGGTGGTGGAGGAACACAAGAGGCAGCTGGGAGAACATTAGAGAAGCTGCTACACCCACTCAGTAGAAATATTATGCTCTATTTAGGCCAAATAAAAAAGACAGTGAGGACAACACTTTGCATGGAAAAGGAAGCCATCAATCCCCTAAGATGCAAGACCTACTTCCACAGTGTGAGAGTTCCATCTAAAGCAACATTATGGCATAAATTATATTTGAGTATTAAAGACAGGATGGCTGAAGCCATGGAAGAGAGATGGGCTGTTGCTCAAAAGATCTCAATCAATTTGCCCATCTGTGCTTGCCCTTTTACTGACTCATGACCACCACCTAATTTCACCCAGCTTATTCAACCCTCACTTTACATTCAACACAGACATACCAGAAATCTTTCACTGTTCTGGTCCTTATACTTCTTTATAGAAAAAAACACAATAGAGCATCCAGACATGAGCCTTAAATCCTACTGCATCAAGTTTAGAGGCCAAAAAGCTGCTTTTTGGTTTTCCTGACCTTCATAAGCCTTTTTCAATTGCTTCTTTTAGTTTTAAAACTATTTTTCTGCACACACTGGGCACAGGAGGTCTGGATGATGTTGGCATGATTACAACACAAACAGGATTATTTCCTCCCAACATTAAATTTACTAATTCCTTGGCAATAGCATGACACTGGGAATTGTCATCTTCTTTATCACATCTGACATGTACTTGATTAACTTCTTTCCAAAACAGTATTTCAAGTTTTTATTTTCTCTCACCTCATTATCTTTCTGTGTACTTTATCCTGTTTGCTAATTAATAATTAACTTAGTAAGGTTTTCTTGTTTTAGTAGTTTGGGGCAGTTTTCTTGTTTGTTTTAAGGCCAGTCAGTTCACTAATTTGCCATCTACTTGATACTTTTTCTTGGCCCTGAGTATTCTGTAGTATCCAATATCTATACTGCCTAACATTCATAATCTTTTAATTCCTAACTGGAAGACATTCTGCATTACAGTGTCTAGGATCTAAGATAGACATGCCTTTGACACTCCTTTGTACAACTCATTCCTCACTTTAGCATTGGTAAGAGCTAGGCTGCAGAGGAACGTGTCGTACTTTATCAATACCCATGATAAGAAATACAACTTAGCAAGACAGAGTTAAACCAAACCAAGTATTTAAAATGGTCATGGGCAGCACTCAAGTTAGTAACATAAAAATTATGTCAGCTCTGCAAGACACCAAGCAACAAGCCCTTTCTTCTGCCCCGAGACACCAGTTTGCCTCATTTGGTCAGCATCTTGGGATCCTGGGGAAACCAACAGCTTGACACAAAAATTATTTGCCATTTTTTGCATAAGTTTAACAAGGTAAGTTTGGCAAACCAAAGTTTCAGAAAAGTTCAATATATCTGTTTGACCCTAAAAGCATTTTGTATTTCCACTGTCTTAACCTCTTCTTTTAGAGTGCATTTCCTTAAGACAACATGAAACACTAAACAAAGCAAACTGGGAGTGGGCAAAGTCACCAAACATGGCTCATGTGTTAAACCTGAGGCACATAAGAGGTTTTAAATATGATCTTAAGTGATCAGTGCGCTGTGGCACAACATAGGGCATTTTATCTTGTAGTTATTTCTTTCTTCCATTTGTCTTCAGTGTCTCCACTTCAGAGCATACAAGCATCTAGTAAATGACTAAGTATGTCCACTACACAGGGAAAGGAAACAAATTCTTTGCTAAATAAGAACAGACAGAGACTAGGAAAAAAGGCAGTCCTGCTTCAACTGGAAATAGCCGCAGCCTTAGGACAGGAACTTTTTTCCTTACTTAAGGAAGAGTTTTTTAGACCAGTGGGAGAATGAAGTCAATGTATCATTGAAGGTGATTTTAAGTTACATCAAGATTTAAATTATAGCAATTACATGCCTTAAGATTCTGATGAGCTTGGAATTGCTGAGTTCAGGCCAGCAAAGTTCACAAGTTGTGAACTTTGATGTTCAGAATATGCTTGTATTAATTTACAAGCATATTCTGAACATCATTACTTCCCCAGTATTTTGACTGTGTAAGCCTACAAGTCAGTGTAGCAAAGAGTTTCTAAAAGGACAGAAAATACACAGCTGGGGACAAAGGACTTAAGTCCAACAGAAGGTTAGCTACCATGCAAGTGAATCTGCTGGTAACTAGGATGGAAAAGCATCTTTGCAAATAACAGCTGGGTTTTGCCATTTAGAGAGTCCTGAGAGACTTAACAGCAATTGGCAATCATCTACATCAATGATGAAAAAAGCTACGATCAGAACCACTGTTTGCCTAACACTTTTTTTCCTATTTCAAATGTGATTTTTCAGAATGTATATCTAATGAAACATGTTGTGGTCCTTCTACTCTTCCAAATGTAGATTAATAAGCGCATGAGACATACATGTGCTTTCCAAGTTCCTCCAGAAACCTGATATTATGAGTGCAAAATGGACACAATAGCTAATGTTACCTGAAAAAAAACCAAACAAAACAAACCAATCTTAGAAAGAGGAACTGACTAGGAAAGGTGAGGGGAAGTAGTAAGAAATTCCCACTGCTTATTGGTAAAGCACCATAGCTGAAACCTGAAGTCAAGATACTGCTATAATAACCACACACACAGCCACTTTCAGTACAGATGGAAGTCAGGTGAAAGGGAGCTGTAAGACCACATGCTTTGTGCATCACAAAGAATTTTGGTTAAGTTACTGGTTTCAAATTGGATTAAGCCAGTTGCTTTGATGCATTTATTTTGCCCCACCTTGTGGTGAAAACCAGTTTACATACTGTGCTACAGCCCTCTGAATTATCCCACTGAATATTCTATTATTATGAAAAGCTGGTATCAAAGATGAAGAGATGATCCTAAAAAGCACACCTGCTTACAGAAATAGTCATTGACAAACACCTCAGCTACAGAAAATATCATTTTACCCCTTCCACCCCACCCCGACAAGAGATATAGAAGTACCTTAGACTAGTACAACAAGAATAGTATTATAAGGAGAGGGCAACTTAATAACCAGCTTTCAAGTCTCAGCGAAATCATTTTACCTTACACTGGAGTAACACCTGAGTTACTTGCACTTCAGCACTAATTCCTTATGACAACAATACTCAGCCCTCAACAAGAGGGACAAAATTAGTGCAAACTAACCCTCAAGTCTGTAAAAGTTTCACATTAGGACTATCCACAGTCAAGAGCTTAAATTGACTCTTTCTTCCCACAACTCCCAGAAGCCATCTAGATAGTTTTGCTTGACATTTACATTGTGCAAAGAACAGTTTGCATCACAGACCTAAGCAGCTATATTAAATTATCACATCAGCAGCACATTTATAAAATCATAGAATTGCGTTGGAAAGGACTTTTTGAAGGTCATCCAGTCTAATCCCCTTGCAATAAGCAGGAACATCTTCAACTACACCAGGCTGCTGCAGAGTCCCATCTGAATGTTTCCAGGCATGGGGCATTGACCCTCACTGGGAACTCTCTAACCTCATTACAGATGACAGACTATTTCACTGAGACAAACAGTTACCAACAAGGTTTAGAAATACCTGCTTTTTCTGAAGACCAGTGACTACCCAGTACTAACTGAGGGAATTTAGCCAACGTGGTAGCTAAAGCCAAGTTCAGCAGCTTCCCAGCACATACAAGTCCCTGGTATCAGCATTGTCTGTCAAAGTTCTAAAACACTGTGCTAATACAAACTGAATGTTTGTTTTCAGGATAATGCCTAAATAGGAATGTTATGTATTTTTAATAACTAGACAGTCAAATAACAAGTTCTAAAGAAGCAAGAACCAAAAGAATTCTCCCCTATGACATTAGTAAAAATTGCACACTTGCAACAAAAGACCAGCAAACACATATTTTGCATTTTCTTTGGGTTAAATGGTAAAATTCAACTTATTTGTAAGTTTGCAGAATTTTCCTTTCAAAAAGAAGCTGACTTACCTAATACTGTTACAGTTGTTGACGACTGTGTATTTCCAAGTGGGAATGTAACTGCCTTGCAAACATATTCTCCTGCATCAGAAAAGCTTACATTTTTTAAGATGATTGTTGCATCAGTAAGTGAGTAGTTTTTAAATGCCACTCTTCCTTGGTATTCTCCTTGAACAGATATTCCATATTCAGGGTGATGAACAGCAATAGTCTGTGAACTTTTACCATATATCTTCTCCCAAGAAACTTGTGTGATTGTTTCGTTCACATCAATTATGCATTTCAGTGCAACCTTCTTCCCCCAAACTGCTGTCACATGTGGATCAACAACTGGTCCAGCTAAGGCACCTAAACACAAAGCAAGTGTTAGTTGCTACACAGGAAAGTTATGTTGCTTGGTTTTCACCATAAGCCTTCTTCCATAATTAGTTTACCTTTTTAGAAGAGAATTCCTGCTTTTTTTCTGATTAACTGATTCACAACAGTGTGGAAATACTACAGAAACACATTTCAAGCAAAAACATCAAACCTAGACACAGACCAATAATTTTTCAGAGAATACTACCACTAATACAGACCTTCATATAAAAACAACCGACAATTGTGTAACTGTGCTAACAGTCTTCTGGGAATTTAACTAGATATGAACATTCAGTGAATTCAGATTTACCAAAAAAACAAGACATGGCACTTTTTAGCAGTCTGACTACTGATATAGAGCAACAAGAAAAACTTAAGTTAAACTACTGCACTTATGTGCTTCTCCTTAAATATTTATGAAGTCATATCTTTTATAAGTAGAAATAAGTGAAACTTCTAGCACTTACCATACCAGTAAATACTTAAAAAGCAAAGCAACAATTAAAAAAAAAAAACCAAAGAAAAAAGCCCCTATCAAAATCCCACAAACCACTCCACATTTACAGTGATAATCACTCAAAAGACCTCAACTTGAGCTTTCCTACCCTACCTCCTAATGAAGACATTTACCATCATGCACATGCAATCTTTCTGCTTCAGTGCAGTGGGGTGTCTTCACACAGGATCTTATCTCAGACAGTAAATATGCAAGAGTAGGCATAGTCAAGTGCTTGCTTAGGATTCAACATATTTCTGCTTAATACCTAAAATTCTGAACTCAACATTTTACACCACCCTCCTTTCAAGAAAGGAAATCCACTAGGACAAAGCAGTTCAATATACCACAGGTTCACAATTTCTTTTGCCAACAGATGCTCCAGCAACTTCACTCATTAGTTCTCTTGGAGCAAACTAACCTGACGAAAAAGAACCAAAGTCTTGGTCCACAGTGTATTTCTTTTTCCTGTGCTCAGATTTTAACAGAGCTATTTCAAATGCTCTGATCCTCTCTTCAGATACCAAGTCAGTACTCAAGCTGTTACTGAGGAAGTTCACCAATAGAGCAAAAGTCAAGTATAAATTTTTTTAGCCCCATTCTCATAAGCATGAAGAAGTCATTCAACTTGAGACATGAGCCACCTCTTCACTTACCAAGCTCACACAAAAGGCAAGCCATGTGTTCAGGAAAGAAGTCCTTAAAAGCCTTTATCTACAAATCCATTGTTAAAAGCTTTCTGCTTCTCATAGATTGATTTTTCATTGTTCAAACCATTTCTGAGTCAATGAAGTCACCCAAAAAAGTGATTTAGCTATGGATTTCTTCAGTGTAAAACTACTGGCTAACATCAATAGTATGAACACCTTAAGCTACACAAATAAGTCAAACTAAGCCAGAAATTCAGACCAATATTGTTGATACATCAGTAGCTAAGTGGGGCTGGTAAAGGGACAAAAAATAACAAGAAAAGAAAAAAAAAAAACAAACCCAAACCATAACACGTTTCAAATAGAGAATATCTGCCATGACAAGTAGTGCAACAACATTCTGTCTATTCTCCTCATGCTTCTTACCTGACACATTATTGTGCAGACTCTGGAAACAGTATAACTATTTGCAAACGGCCATGTACAGAGTTCTGCTCAAAATTCATCTCCACTTGCCATTGCTACATTTAAACATAAGGTGGAATGTTCCTCAAAAAGTATTTGACTATTGCTTTCTACCTTATAAATAAATTCACAAGTTACATTTGTGAAATGTATTTCAGAATGTACAGGATATAAATATTCTGTAGTGTAATTTAAGTAAAGAAAAACACTTTCATTCAGGAATCTGATTTTTGCAACAGTTAAATCTACTGAACCTTAACCTATTTAAACTTTATCAGAGTGACTGTATATAACCCCAAACAGCTTAGTACAGAAAAACCCCACAAGTGAACTTACAAAAACTGCTCAGCAGAAGGTAAGAAACTAAACTGAAAAAACATCCCAGTTAACTGAACACACAAGCTCTTTTGCTTCCTTTTACTTTTTTTTTTTTTGACAACTCTGTTCCCAGTAATTGGAGGCTTCAGCTACATAAAGATGACCACTGTACATTTAAAAAGTCAATACTCAACAATTTTCCCACCAAGGAATATTTCTAACAACTCATTTGTGCCATAAGAACATTGTTTTCTCACATGAATATTTTCAGAAGTCAAACTTTTTCATTGCTGCTATTTTCAAGATTCACAGACTGAACCGAGCAGGACCCATATATATTTAGAGACATAAACACACTTGCAGCTATAGAATGTTGATCAGTTAGATCTTTCTCCTCCACCTTCGCCAGCAAGGGAAGTAGAAAGCTAACATATCACTACTCCAAATTTTACATTTTTACATTTATCTCATCTTCTGACAACATGTTCAGACTCCAAAGACACACACACACACAAAATCAACTTATCTATACAACACAAATGACTTGAACTTACATACAGTTCATACAACAGTATATAGACTCCAAAATGTTTAAAGTGCTAGAAATAGTTTAAATCTGAAGTGCCAATGCCACATATTTAATTTGGAACAGTATCTCTTGTTTTAATCTCCATCCAGTTATTATTTAACTAGCTGTAGTTGCAGAGCAATCAAGCTAATAGCTCAAACTAGCAAGCTAATTACCATGAAGATATTCAGGGCTCTCCAAGGCTCAGGATGCTTAAGATAAGTATTTCCTTTGACATAAAGACTTCCAGTCAAGAGTCAATATTCTGCTCACAGATTGTAGTTGAATAATGAGCTACATGTCTCCCCCAAAACAACACATTTAGAGGCTTATAATGCCCAAGGTTCTGAAGAACAAGCCACTTGAAGACCACACTATTCAGGTCCTTAACTGATCCAAAGCACTGGCACACGGGACATACATTCATTGTTTTAATGAGGTCTGGCCCTCCTCCTCTTGAAATCTGACCTTTTCTGCCTTATGTTTACAATATCGAAGTCTGTCATTTCCAACAAAACTTCTGGATACATTTTGTATTTACTTAGTAATCAAGATGTTTTGTAACTTCTGAAGGTAAACACAATCATGAGGTTTTCATATTTTTTTCTTCATATTTGCCCAAGTTTTTACAGATTTGCCTTCCCTTTCCTTTTTGCTTCCTTGAAATACATGAGATTGTCCCCTACTGTTTCACATGCAGCCTGATGAGATTGCCATCTCAAGCACTTTACAAGGTAAACACAATCATGAGGTTTTCATACTTTTTCCTTCATATTTGCCCAAGTTTTTACAGAGTTGCCTTTCCTTTTTGCTTCCTTGGAATACATGAGATTGTTCCCTACTGTTTCACATGCAGCCTGATGAGATTGCCATCTCAAGCACTTTAACATGATTCAATTTCAGCTAGGTTCCTATGCACTATCTGATTTTTGATCACAGTGATCCAATGCCATGCTTGGCAATAAAGTCAAGAATCCTACCTGAAACAGCAAGGCAATGACTCTACTCATGTAACTTGACAGAATGTTCAAAGAGTAAACAAAACAAAATGATCCCTAAGGCTCACTTGCAGCAATAAAAGCCACAGAACTGCATGCTATCAAATACTGACCATGATAATATTTTCAATATCAATTCTGAATTAAGCTTCTACCACCTAACTGAAAAAAAAAAGATACTGAGGAACTATATGATAACCTTCATAACACAGCAATGCATTCATGATATGGAATGACAGAATACTTTCCACATTTACAGGCTTGTTATTTGTTGCAATAAACAGCAGATTTAGATTTTCTATATGAAGCAGCCATGCACAAGTCTAATTATAAAAGCAATGCATTTTGTTACCCACTTAACAGCACACTCCTGGCAAGACAAGGTGACCATACTGACCCTTTCTAGCCACTGATTTCCCACAACCTGCCAACTATTTCCGCAAGACAAAGCCAAACTACAGAGAAGAATAAAACTGAATTTTTTTCCCTCTATCAGCAAGTTATTCAGCTCATGGGTACACGTGGCCTTAGACAAGACAGAGCCAAACTACAGAGGAGCATAAAACTGAAATTTTTTCCCCTCTATCAGCAAGTTATTCAGCTCATGGGTACACGTGGCCTTAGCACAAAGTAGTGGCAAGGAACACAGAAGAGGTCCAATCAAAAATGGAGCAAAACAACAAGAACATCCCATTTCACAGACAGCAAGTTGCTATGTCAGCAGAACACTCTTAAAGCCAGGCTAAGCAGTATTGTTTGGCCAGTTTAATCTCAATTGACATCAGAAAGCTTATTCTTGCAGTCCTCCTCCTGTGTCATCACTAATTAGGTACCTAAAAGACCCCCATCCTACAAAAACTCACTTGTTCTCTTCCTGATTTAACCTTCTGAATTAGCTCAGTCCATCACAAGAGGCGATGCAACACAGGCAATGAGCACAGCTCCACAAATCTAGTGGCATTTTCAGATTTGTTTAACTGGAAAAACAAATCACTTTAAGACACTGTAGAAAACAAGCTGAAGCCTCAACTTAAGGCTTTACAAAAATATATAAATGACTGGGAAGAAGTCAGTGTGTCTTTTGAGCACCAGGGCATGATCAAATTACTGTGTCAAAAAAAGATCAGAACCAAGGAATGGAAGAGATTCTTGATTAAGCAGTACAAAATGCCTCAACACTAGCTTCCAATTAGAAGTGCTAAGCAAGTACTTAGCAAAAAACTGCACTTAAATCAAAGAGAAAGTATTATAATCTAGTGCTACTCTCACCTAAGGATCTGCTTTGTCACAATCCTTGCTTGAAGTGGAGTGTCAATCAGTTTTTTCGGGGCAAGTGAGCTGAGACCAGGAACAGCACAAGATAAGCTTCTATAAGCATTGCATTTACAGGACTCAGCTCAACTTCCCTTTTTTTGGTACAGAACTTGCCTTAATTTTTTAAAGAAGAAAACCAGGGATGTATTATTTCCATCTCAGAGAGCAAAACTTAAAAC